ACAAGAGAAGGAGCGTGAAGAAAGGAAACGTCAGCGGGAAGAGCAGCAGAAACTTGAGGAGCAGCTCTTGCGGTATGCAGAAGCTTTACGACATCAGGCATCGTTGCGCGGGACAGCCAACAGGCCGAAGTAATACAACCTACTCGTATATGTGATAATTTATAATAGTATTTATTCTTAAAAATAAAAAAAACTCGTTCCTCATACATGATTATTTCATTTCAAAGTGCATATCAGCTCAGCAACGAATGCCAAGCTTGCGTGTACCTCCTCATTAATGTCAAGACTAGTCACTAAACTTTGTAAGAGAATTGTAGGTGCACAGTGACATGCTATCCAGCGATAGATAGGTACGGTTCACGTTACATAGTTTCCAGGTAAGGTATCTGTGATACTATAACCCTAACATTACAGGAAAAATAAAAAAGACACATATTTAGAGTAATACGAAATGACAAATCTTCAATATAAGAAAGGTGTATGAATGTATTAAACACATTTTATCATGCACACCGCCACATAGTACTCGTCCAAGCCCACTTTAGCCAATATTCTGCAGTTGCCATCTCGCCGATTGAAAGATAAAAGCCTGTTTGTGGCCCGTGCACTTCGCTCACGCGGTACTCGTAGTGCTTCTGAGATTCTTTCAACAGAATCGCACGTTCCAGGTAGAACTTCAGCCACTGATGGACGTGTCCCCAGCAGTAGTGATGCCAGTGATTATCTTGACAACGGTAATCGGAATGCTCTTGGGCTCGTTCGATGTTGAGCCGACACGCGCAAGAAGCGTAGTCACCATATGAACAGTCATCCATGTTTATGAGCCGGAGGAAATTGGAGAGCTCCGAGATATAGGTGAATTGGGGTATACCGGGAGGTGTGATACCTCCGAACAGTGGTACCATGCTGTTGAGGCCTACTTGCAGACATTTTTCTCCCATAATTTCGTAATGGAAAAGGTACTCGATGCTCAGCCGTTTTCCATTGTAGAATGTGGCTTCGAAAGTCTTCACGTTTAACTCTGTCAACAATTGTGTGAAACAGCTTGCTTCTGCCGGTGCGGACATTGTTTTACGTTTATCTTTTCTTAGCTCAATAAAGACAGCAAAGACGTAGGCACGTTCGTAACGTTCAGTAACCGAAAGTTATTTGTGCCTGAAGATCTATTATATTAGAGATGAATACTTATCATAACATCAAATATACCGTTGGGTTTTCCTCAAGATTTTGTAGCTCGTGCCAACTGATCCTAGGTTATCGTAAGACGCAGAGCCTGACTACCTGTCTCAAGGTAACCAATAACAATGGTTTGATAAAGATCCCGTACTCGTAACATATTACCTATTCATATTCTAAGCAATTGCATATGGTTTGTTCTATATTTAAACTAAAGTGTGCCACGTCTGGCAACGTATTATCGGGAAATTTATGTCTACGTGTATAGTTACGAGTATAGGAACGTTTATTGTCGCGGCTCTTTGCCGTAATACTGTTTGCGGCTTATGCGTAGATACTACTCATGAACCAACTTAAGAAAAACGTTATTTAGACGTCTCACATTCCTGTATGGTCTGCTCCGCGGCTAAACGTCGCAGGTACACGTACTCAGTAAGCGAAGGCACGTTCAGGCCTTGCTCAAGACATATGATAAGCATTGTTTGTGATAGCGGAGCTTTGCATCCCATGTGCACGTAACTCTTATCATCACGCCTTGCAACTCAACGGTAAGTGATAGTGGTGTGACGTGCTATGCGGCTCCTAGTAGCACGTTACCTAGCCGTTACCTCTAGTGCCGTCCAAGCTTGACTTGATTGTATCTAACACTAAATTTGATCTTGGAGCAACGTAAGACGGAACGGTCTCAATACCTTACCTGCACAACTCTCCATCATTCTACAATACTAATAGGAATAAAACAAATAAAAGTAGACATATTAAACACAGCCATTTATTTCAATCTACAGTACTTTAGACTTATGAAAACTATTCAACACTCTTAACACTATTGCGATGCAGCTGCACTAGAGCCAGAACCACTTATGCTGCGAGCCGAATCAAGCAACAATTGTGTGTCCGTACGTTCACCCGTGGAATAATATTCCAAGATGGCTGGATTGTCTCGATGCACTTTTGCAATCATCGCATGGAACATCTCTTTAGATTTTTTAAGAAGAATCGCCGGCACCATATAATGGGTCAACCACGCAGAGACGTGCGCGATGCAGAAATGATGCCAGTGGAGTTCGTTCGTGCACTCGCTTTCAGGAGATATCACTTTATGTGGATTGTTGCCACAGGTGCAGGTGTCGCCGGCAACCGTTTTGCACTTCTGAAACCGAAGCTCTTCCTCAACAAACTTCAGTATCGTAGGCAGCCGCACAATATCTCTTTCACCAGGCGGCGGCTTCCAAAATAGGGGCATGAGCCAGTCCCAATTTATCAGCAGGCGATCCTCTTCCGGTCTCGTTGCATCAAAGTTGTAGCGGACGGTGCATGCTTTCCCATTAAGAAAAGTCAAGTCCAAGTTTCGCATCGACCGAACAAACTTATGATATGCAGTGTGAAAACGCATAAATTCGGCAGGGCTGAAAGGGGCCTTACTTGGTATAGCAGGCCCGCGGATCTTGAAGGTTTCCACCGGAAAAGTAACTGTTCTGTCTTGATCTTCTTGGGACGTCATGTTGAGTTCTAGATGTCACGGGGCTTCTCCTCTTAAGTAATGTTCCTTCGTGAACGTTCCGCCTTTCACTGTGTAGCTATCGACTATGCGCAAAAAAATATGTTCGCTCTGTGCACACTCACACAGTCATACAGTCTCACCAAAGTGAGAATATGTGGTCGTGTACATACATATTTCCTCGCTATTGCCGTTGCCACCAGTATGCATATACACGACCACACATTCTCACTTTGACGAGAGTGTATAAGTGTGCACAGAGCGAATACTGAGCCAGTAGATTGTAAACAGGGTAATTGCATGGGGATAACCAAGCAATTTGGAATTCCCGCAACCTAACCCGCGGGTTATCGGCGGGTACGCCGATGTAATTGCTCCTAAAATAACCAATTGAATAATAAAATGTTCTTGTACTACGTCAGCGGTTGCTAGCTGCAGTTATAGGTTGAAAAATTAACTTCAATTCTAGCATTAGGGGGTCTTGTGAGTGCCCGCTATGAATGCTGCGCTGCAGTCCATCGTCATGCTTACATTGTGCAAAAGTTGCAAGCGGTACATGGCCTACGAGATGCAGGTGAACGCTGCATGTCTACGATAAGCAGATAATTTTACAAGTAGTATGTTTGTTCTAGGCGTTCTAAGTGTCGTTCTGTGAGAACGTGAGCTGTAGGTTTCTGATAATTCGGCCCCAACTTAGATGCTGATGCTGCAGCCTTAGCAAGTCATGTTACCTGTTACTTCGACCCGTATTCATAGCACCTTCAAGGTGGCACATACATAACAGGTCGAAATTTTTGAAAATGCATTTGATCCCTATGCACTTTAATATCTTCATCATTGAATACGAAAATATCACCCTTGCCGTGCCTAGATGCTTCATTGTGAAGTTATAGACCATACGCTCTCCTGTCACTGACTGTAGTTCATCCCCATTATCAATAGCGCCTGAAACATCACTAAAAATCCCACCCAGGCTTGTCATTTGAGACTTCTTGGACAAGAACCCATGTTGATTAAGATGGATTTTTTGTTTAATAATATGTATATCCAAATAAGTTTAATGAAACATGTCCGAATCAAAGCCTGATGTGATTGATGAATGATTATTGCATTATTTTTTTAATATATGGATGTACTCTAAATAGCCCACGGCAAACTGCATTGGTAGTCCGTCCGTTACACTAAGTTCTATCAAAATATCTGCCTCCTTGTTTCCCCGCAAACTAATATCTGATACGACCCACTCCAGTCTCATCCTTCTGTTGTCTTGGCTAAGATAGAAAATCTGTTTAAGTATAGCATAGGTTGTCGCTGTACCTGTGAGTCCAGAGGTGCATCCACCCAAGATATCTAGAAACCAATATTTATCTTCCTGGCAAAAATATTAAGTCATTAAGTTTTAATAATTATAACCAACTGTAATAAAATTTCAATTGAAGAATTTATCTTTTATTTCTCCATAGGTGTAGTATAAAGTACTATGTAGCCCTCTAAAAAAGTGTTATTCCTAAGTTGAGTTTTTTAAGGCCCTCGGCTACTGCCAACATTTTAAATAAAGCTATATTAGGTACTAATTGGAACTGATCGAAGTAGGAAGTCAACACTGCAATAGATACATTATGTAAACAATGGTGTATAAACTTAAGTATGTACGTGGATCTGAAGTTATACTCTAAATAATAATTTAGAGTTATTTAAATACAGCACCATCTGGCGAAAATCTGTTGTACTAAGAGATAAGTAATACCTTTGTTGTATGGTTGGAGTTCTGCAAATAATTTTCTTATTATCATATGGCGCTAACTGGTGAGTCTACCGAAGACAAGAGTAACTCTTGTCTTACCACAGACTGTGGTTTTACTAAAGAGATGATATCCTGACATCAAAACCGGAGTTCTAGAAATTCACTGTCGTATTTGTTCCCAAACGCACCGAAAAAAGCATCAATAAAACTTCAATATTTTTATTTGGCTTCCTACTGTACAGCAGTGTTACATTACTTATCTGCTGAATTGGACGATATTCCTAAGCCTGGCAAACAAATGTGCTCTGTTTTTTTCACACTAAGGCTAGCATTTATTTCCCTGTAGGCTATGATACTAAGATCTCTCGGTATAATAAGTAGGTACCTATACTACCTAAATATTTGCACTCATGTCACGGTTGTTTCGTTAGTTTAATTAGTACCAATGATAGCTATATGTGTGTTATAGCTGTAGTGTTATCGTCGAGTGTATAATTTATACCCATAAACTCGTTTATGTGTATATGGGCTATTAGGAATTTACAGAAATTTATTACTAAATGAAGTCTTATAACTTACCTCATCTACTATACAAAATTGATGATGGTGCACAGTGGAATTTTCTTTCTCGAGCAAGTCCGCGGACTTTTTACTTATTTGGTTAAATAACTTGCTACTTCGGTAATCTGCGAAACGTTTATAAATTATTATACGATATACCAATATCCAATTGATCAGATGAAGTGTTTTTGTCCAAATGAACTTACGCATTTTTTTTTATAAATAAAGTCAGGTAATATAAATGTGGCGTTAATGTTTCATTTGTGGAATTATATATTTATTTATTTATTTAATAATTTATTGTACACGAAATAAAAATAAATAAAAAATACTTAAATAATTATTATATAATATTGTTATTTTTTCAACTTTATTCTTTAAGTTTAAGTTTCTCGTTACAGTTGAGATAACAATGCTAAATATAATTCAGATTGCTGAATTGTCTGATGGCGCTTAGTGGATTTTCTAGTTCTATCTTACATACAAACCTGATTCATGAACACAACAAAAACCTCAGCAAGCCAAGAATCTGTCAATTCGTTAACAATACTCGATCATTTAATTGAATGCCTACTCGCCGCGACTATGCGCTGTGTGTGACAGGGGTACTCGCAGCGTAGCCTTTCACCTCGAATATCTCTCGAAATACAAATTTGGCGCACCGTCGAACGGACCTTCACACTTTGCTCCCGCAAGCCTTACGAGCCCCCGCAGTGGCTGCTCACTGAGGACCCCGTAACTCTTACGGGCGCTTTACGGCATAATATCCGCTAAAAACCCCTGCGAATACCCTCTAAGCTGCTTAGTGCGAAACCACGGCGTCCCCGTTAAGGGATTCTTCCGGTTATGTAAAATCCTAGAAAAGGTCCTTAACAATCATCTGACCCGCTTCCTAAAGGATCATTCCCGGAGTAAAGATCGTCAAATGGTTTTAGACCGAAACGATGGACGGGTAATCTTCTAGCGTACTTGTCTCATATCTGGGGTGAGGCTATCGTCAAGCGTGGCGAGTCGTTGGCTATCAGCCTTGACATTGACAAGGCGTTTAACAGGGTCTGGCACAAAAGCCTTCTCTTCAAGCTTCCGGCATACGGTCTGCCAGCCCAGTTCGGTTCCGGGGTAGCTAACTTCCTGCATGAGCGTAGAAATCGTGTCCTTACGGATGGTAGTAGTTCGCGGTTCATGTCAGTGAATGACGGCGTTCCTCAAGGTCCTCCTGTCCCCCACTCTCTTTCTGCTGCATATCAATGACTTAATTCCTCTTGGAAATATTCATTGTTTAGCAGACGATAGTACAGTGAACGCGGGATATCTCGGACAAGCAGCGGCTGGACAAGCGGTAACCAAGCAAAAATTGGAGAATCTTATCATTTAACTCAATCTGGTTTTGGACTACATTTCTGAATGGGGTAGGTACTAAGAACTTGGTTGAGTTCAATGCTAAGAAAATCCAGGTATACGCTTTCACGGCAAAAATGTCGCCATTTCTCTCATTTCTTTCTCTTCAGGATACAACACAGAAATTAGAGAGCAGTATCACCATGCTCGGTATGGAAATTTGCTGTGACTTAAATCTACAGAATTACATCGAAAACGTGGTTAAAATGGCCTCACGCAAACTCGAAGTCCTAAACAAGGTGCGGCGTTGTTTCACGCCCAAGCAACTGTGCTTGTTGTATAAAACGCAGGTGCGATCTTGCATGGAATATTGCTCGCACCTCTGAAATGGTTACGCCAAGTACTGGCTCCATGCTTTGGATAAGTTACATCGGTGTGCGATCCGCATCGTAAGCAATGAGGAGGTGACTAAACACCTCGAGCCTTTTCAATTACGCGTCGTCATTAAGCGCGTTCTATCGTCTGTGTCACGGTGAGTGTTCTGAGGAGTTATTCTCTCTTATTCTACCTTCCCCTTTCAAAATCGTTTATTCAGTCTAGGCGTATGGCGTAGCTTTCCGACATTCACAAGTGCTTGTGAATGTCGGAAAGCTACGCCATCGGTTCGCAAATCTACGGCGGGCTTGTACTGAGAAAAACCGCCAAGAAACTCAGCAAGGGCTGTTTTTTTTTCTCCCTGTATTATATACAGAATCGTCAAATTGAAAAACCCGCCAAGTGCGAATCGGACTCGTGCACCGAGGGTTCCGTATAAACTTAATTGAATACCTCAACGCGTTCATGGGAAAAGAGGTAGTAACTTTAAATTTTTCAAAAATATTTTTTATTATATGATGTAACTAAAAATTTACGGTTACCGCAATTTTTCCTTTATCTGTACTATAAGAAGTTACTTCGTACCAAATTTCAAAATTCTAAGTTCACGGGAAAGTACCCTGTAAGTTTTGATTCCCGTGCGAGTTTCGAATATTTGCTGCATAAAGATACAGCATCTTTTGATTGCTTTGGCTTAGAAGTTTGATTTCTTCACAGCTCCAAGGACCTCTACTGTAGACATGAGTATTAGATATGAATTTCAGTTTGATACCTCCACGCGTTCCTGAGAAAAACTGTCTTTACAGACGGACAGACGGACAACAAAGTGATCCTATAAGGGTTCCGTTTTTTCCTTTTGAGGTACGGAACCCTAAAAAATGACTTCAATATGAGATAACTCATGAAGTAAAAAAATATAAGAAACTGATTTAACAAAGTTTAAGATTGAATGGGAATTCAACTATTGGAATTCGATATTACTTCGTTTTTAGGGTAAACTTTAATCATTGCTAATGTACCATGGGACAATATCTAAGAAAACTGGGAAAAAAAATAACTTACCTTCAGTAAACATAAGGGGATAATTTCCGATTGCAACACAGTGTACCCTGTTTTCGGGTCTATCCTTTCCCGATGCCATTATGACGAAAAGTTCGAACCCCAAGCATGTACCAAATAAGGGAAAGTAGTCTCCCGCATCATTAAACTCCTGCGCAATCTCGTATATATGCTGCCCGGCGTCCGCGTATCCATCCGACTGATTAAACCATGTGTTGCCTCCGGGATACAAAACGCTGCCAACATACATTACGATCATCATTATCACCATTAATGTCCCCTCTGCTGGGGCACAAGCTTTCTAATGGAAATGAGGGAATAGGAAGATTGAGCAGTGACCCACCACACGTGCCCATCGGGGATTGGTAGGTACTAAGGACTTACTTAAGGAGATTTAAACATCAAGCAGTTACATGCTTTAAAAATAATAAAAATTATAACTATAATTGCTATTTCTTCTTTCAAATGTTTAATACTTGTAAAAGTATTCATTTGACATTGTGGGTTTACCTATAATGCGAAGAGATGGCGCTGCCTTGCAGCTTAAGAATAGCTAGAAAGAATTTCGACGCGGTCCGTGAGGGCCGCGGTAGCATAATTGGTCAGTGCATTCGCCCGGATTGCGAAGGGTGCGGGTTCGAGTCCCGTCTGCTGCCTGGTCCGCGTGGAATTTTTTCTAGTTATATTTTCTTTAGATTTAAACATCAAGCAGTTACATGCTTTAAAAATAATAAAAATTATAACTATAATTGCTATTTCTTCTTTCAAATGTTTAATTCTTGTAAAAGTATTCATTTGACATTGTGGGTTTACCTATAATGCGAAGAGATGGCGCTGCCTTGCAGCTTAAGAATAGCTAGAAAGAATTTCGACGCGGTCCGTGAGGGCCGCGGTAGCATAATTGGTCAGTGCATTCGCCCGGATTGCGAAGGGTGCGGGTTCGAGTCCCGTCTGCTGCCTGGTCCGCGTGGAATTTTTTCTAGTTATATTTTCTTTAGATTTAAACATCAAGCAGTTACATGCTTTAAAAATAATAAAAATTATAACTAAGGACTGCAGATACAGCCCGTATCAATAGCTTAACGCGCCTTCCGAAACTCGGAGGAGCTCCAGATTATGTTTTTCTAATAGGTGTGTAACAATTTGTGTGTGTTAAATGCTGATGGGTAAATATTAATTCAAAAATTCAATATTAATCTAAATACTAAAAAAGTAATAATAACAGTAATAATTAATATTTTTTGGTGAATGATAATAATATATTATTATTAATTATAATTAATAACAAATGATTAATAATTAATATAATATAATAATCTTTTTAATTCAATAATTATATAATCTAATTTAATTCTCTTAATAATAAATTAATCACGTCACGTCGATGTCGATTCACGTTACGCGCTTTTTAGGCAGAACTGAAAACCACTGCTTTGCTCTTAGAGCAAAGGTATCGCTGAGTTTTTGCCTTCTTCTGTCGTTGCGGCACACAGTTATATACCTAGTAATTAATTGTTCTATTTGTTTACTTGAATTTGTGTGCTGTACTGATGGGAATAAATGATTGATCTATATTTTGGTCACCCATCCAATGACCGATCATTATTTTTTTATTTTTCAATATAACCCTATAATAACATTGCGCGTGTGATACAGGCATCCTTAACCCACGGTGTTAGCTGCTTTACGACACTATAATACATGTTGTAGGTATTTGTCATTAGATTCATCTTTACATGTTGTAGTTATCTTTTGTTCTGAAGTTTTCAACACGAATTTATCGTATGAATGAAATTTGAATACATTACTTATAAATTTGTGGATTGTAATATAGGTGTTAACGCACTCTGAAATTTTTAAGTATCTCAGAGATTCGTCACCACTACCACCCCTTCATCTTGTCATAAAGAAGAAGAAGAGGTGAGCCTAGCGACCTTCAAGTTCGAAATATTCTGCACCCTAAAGAGGGATTCCAGAATCTTAAATTATAAGCACAAAGAAAGATGCAATGAAGCTACAGCCATAGAGTGCCATCACCCAGCGACAGAACCCTGACAACAAACTGTTTATCAAACATCTAACATTGAACTCACAGCAGAGTTGCATGAATACTCGGGCCCGAAAGAACTAAGAATCTCATTGATGGAGCAAAAAATTTGTTTGAAACTAGAGTCATATGACCTAAATATTGGAATATCCATATTCCTAGGGGCTGGCCCCTAGGAATATTTTACACTGTCTAATGTGTTGGCATTTATCAAAGCAGCACACGCCATAGAGGTCAGAAAAGTCACGGATACCTATGTCCGTATACTTTTCAACAGTGCCTCAGTTCTTCAATACTTAAAGCAGATCCACATCACGTAATTACTACTAAATCAAAATACAGTGACGCTAAAATGGATCAAAGGACACAGTGGATCACTTGGTTAAGATGCAGCAGATGAACTCGCAATAAGAGGTTCTTAAACAAAACTCAGGTTCAATAGGTTCGCATCCGACGAGTTCCGACCAGCTCTTTAGCAGGTTAAGGGACTATACAAACACAAGCGATGAATTGGTGAACTTCGACACCAGGTTGTAAGTTTATCCAAGGAGACTATTCCATCCCTAGATACAAAGTTGACCAAGCTTCTTTTGAATAAACACCTTCACACCCTATATACTGACAGTCCTTTTGACAGAGTATGTATTGAGGCAGAAAAAACGGCGGCACATGTGGTCCTCGAATGCGCGGCGTCGTCCAGATCCGAGGGGACTCACGGTAAACCAGGATCCCTCGCAAATATCTGGAGAGGATTGACTTGGTAAGATTAATCTGCTTCTGGAGGGAGGTGGGCTAGCTAGAATTATCGGCCGCCATGGCTCAAGTACAATGGTCCACTTTAAGAACTAAGTGCGGAAGCTACCAAACAACATAGTGTCGTTTCGTCAAACTCATCAGTTCACGTGTAAACATCTAGCCACTGCGAGCGTTTTTTTTTATTTGTTTGTTTTGTTTTCTTTTTATTTTCACTTTTTTAAAGTATACTTACCCGTTAATCTTGCTCATGAGCTCCTTATAATAGTTACGCGACTTTCCGATGCTGTAAAAAAATATTCAGGTACTATAAAATCTCCATCCCAAAGTTAAGTAAAGTCTCCTTATAAATATTAATTACCCACAATATTGGCAGAACTCTTGCTCCCGAAGCCTCTACACTTTTCACATATGAAGCCGAAATGTAACTCATGAAATTCTCCTGCGAATATTTGTCTTTCAAACGGTAATCTTGTTCTTGGGAGAGTATACCGATTATGGGACGTTCATTCATTTTTATGTGTTCACTTTGGATTGCCGTTTCACCATCACAACACGAAAACAGAAACACTGCACTTGCCACAAATACTGTTTTCAAATAAACTATCATTATGATACTGGCAAACTCAATGCCTACACACCTATAAAAAAAATGAGATGTTAAGTAAGTATATATTTTGTTTTCAAAGTAAACAAAACACTTTTCGAGTTTCACAGTTAATTAGATTACCGCATGCTATTCCCCCAATTCAAAAAATAAATTGAGGTAATTTTGAGTACTAAAAAGTAAACTATACGTCGACTGCTTATATCTTAATGAAACTGACCACATTAGTGCTATCGTTAAAACTTCGATAATAATGTAAACTCTTGTGTATTCTGTGTACTTCAATTTCACCATCGTTAAAATAGTATGCACACAAATAGATTTTGCCTCCTGCTCAGATGTTAAAATAAACTCGGTGTGCTAAATCTAAAACAAACCGATGCACCTTGTTTGACAGTTTATTTATAAGTACATGATGCATTATTGTTATTTGGTCAGATAGACAAAAGAAACCGATAACGTCATATCGTAGATTAAATGAAGTGGATCAAATGATATCTGCCACGGAGTTTGTATATTATAACTTATTAGCCACTAGCATTTTACTCGCAAAAAGGACAATGGCGAAATATTTGTTAAAGTAAATCTATAGCGTCTATAGATGTCATTATCAGAAATGTTAATAAAATAATCTCAAAAGATTTATTAAACAATTGAGGAGGGTTGTCTAAGTCTGGAATTAAAAACTTAAAAAAAGGGAAACACAATTGACTATTTATTTTTTATTTTTATTGTGGCTTGGCCATGATGGCTTTTGAGCCATTCATTTTAAGTGATTTTAGTGATGAAATCAACTTTAAATATGTTGTTCGTATGTTTTGCATCGCTTTACGCTTGAACTGTATTTAATTATCTATCAAAAATATCGGGAAACATTATTTTTCAATATTATACTGAAACCATATTAAATAATCTTCACAATACAAAAAGAGTATGGCGACAATTCTAACGAAAAAAAACTATAACTGTCACTGTCATGCTTGTCATCGAATTGTTGTTGATATTGTTATCAATAGATAACATTGTTTGTGCTTAGGGGCATGCATATTGCAAAGATTTCAATCGGCGTATTGTGTTTTTCTGAGATTTGTTTTTTTATGTGACTTGGACTGTATTTGGACTTTCGAAATCTTTCTCTGCGACTGTTGAGTAGTGCTTGACTTCAAGATTCCGAATCTGATATTTTGCTGTGGATTTTGGACACGATTCTGTCCCATACTGTGGATTTTATTTCATTGTATCTACTATCTACGATATTGTGATCAACGATGTGGAATAAAAAATATATAAAAAGTGTTGCATATTTAATTAATATCCCATTAGTACATTATTAGAAATCCTTTTTTATACTTTATTATTGCAGTGGGCATTTTCAAATTGTTAAGTACTTCTTACAGCACAGACATTGAATTTGAACTCAATAACTCTTTTTTGATAATAAGTATTTTGACGCGGTTGGTCATTACCTACGCCAAAGAAAGAAAGAGAGCCAACTGATCATACACACGATCATACATTGTAAAAAACATTTTTTTTTCGTCACTAATCTTCAGGACCCGTATACTTCTATAGTTCCGTTCCACGTATTTTGACGTGACAACGTCTTAAATTAGGTTGCGGCTGGGAGTCACTTATGAAAAAGTGTAACGCTCGGTAACGTTACGATGAGTCTCTCGTGTTAAGTTTAAGTTTACATGTACAATGTTTTAGTAAACAAAATATATTTCTATAGTTAAAATTTGTGCAATTCTTATTTTCATTCAATTCCTTGTTCCTATTGTGCAATTTAATTATATTCATATCAATAAATATTCTACCGAGAAAAAGACGTTGTCACGTAAAATCTTCGCCCGTAAAACCGACTTTACAGGCAACCATTTTTTTTATTTTGATATAAAAATACTCTTGAAAATACTTTTATAATTCGTTTTTGCATTACTTGGTAGGACATAACCTCCAAAACTTCAAAGTAGAATATCTTTAAATCCAGACTTCCTATAATATAAGAAATAAGATGAATCAAATCAAGAATGTAAACTCTATAATTTAACATGCAATTCATTTATAGACGCAAGAAAAAAATTCAACAAAAAATTGTATGGGAGTTCGCCATTGTCCTTTAATTCTTCCTGTCTTCTCTCTATTTTCTTGCAACTGTTTAGTATTTAAATCTTATCATTACATGTGAGTCAATTTTTATAGAGTATGATTTCTGGAGAGCAAAAGTATAATAAAGTATTACAAATTCTAGATTCATTGAATTTCTATCAAATTCATCAGTTTTATACTCTAGACAGTCTCGTTAAGGTATGTGGTAGTTTAGATCTAAACAATCACCTGAATTGCAAATTTCTATTTTGAATCATTTTTAATCAACGACAAATGAATCTAATCTTTCTAATTCCGAAAACGACTGTTAGATCAGTTTAAGTATTAAGCTTAAGTATAAGTAACGACACATAAAAATTAAATTAAATCTTATCATACGTTTTATGCATCCTTGTAAATCAATTGCATTATCATATCACACAGTCGCGGGACTTCCTGTCTCTATCAATAACATCCACTTGATATGAATATAATAAATAAACAGTTTGTGCAGTAACATTACAAAGTTTTTGATCAAAATTGAAAAGACTAAAAAATTCATGGTCATCAGTAGCTGCGACTTTAGTTATAGAAAATAGTATACTTTATAGTTAGTTTTTTGAGAAATTTCTTCCAAATCCATCAATCAATCGTTTCTGCGTGATGAAGTAACAAAAATACAAACTAATATAAGTGTGTTAATATTTTAAGAATTTTAATGTAAGTAATTATGACTGGATTCTCATTAAAGTTCTTAAATGAGAATCTAATCCTAGTAATGATTTATTTGTGATATTTTATATATATATATATATATATTTAACATTTATATACCAAATACCGTAAGTAAGGGTTACTTTAGCTCGGGCGGGTAACTTTGTCCCATATCAGAAAAGATATTGAACCTGCCGCCCCATCAGTATCTCTTGGGTGACCGTAATAGTTCCAGTTGAAAATCACAGATAGCCATATAGGCTCGTAGTGTGGTGTTGTTTTACCGACATCATTCCTGTATCAAGTTGTCATTGTAACGCGGGATTTTTTGTAACTGAAATAGTTCGCAAGTTCATGCTCAAACTTTCTCAAAACTGTGGTTTTCGGTAAGTTTACAATTTTTGCTTTAACTTAATTATTTTTGGGTAAAAACATCCATTTGTGTATTTAGTATGCTAATGGTGATCTGTTATAAGGGTTACTTAACCCCAACATGCCTTAAAATTAGTTTTTTTCACAGAGAAAACTCAACGAGCTAAAGTAAACCCTCTTTAAGGCCAACTTTGGCCCAAAATTAAAAAAATATATATGAACCCTTAAATATTATTTTTTCCTATTTTCGTATGATAACTTTGTAACTTATACTTTAAAGTTCACAATGGAAAGATATAAACGTGACATATTCATCACAAAGAGAAACTACAATTTTATTTGAAAAAAAAAGTGCACATTTTAGGTCAAAGTAACCCGCAGTTACTCGGTATATATACGAAATAGCAGTATTTTTTACGTCTAATAATTTAATAAGTAACGCACTATGAAGCCTCATCACCACTAATTTAGTCAACTCTGTTGAAGTTTCAAATCATTATAGCTATTATTAAATAAATAAATATTTCCAACACTCACACCAATTAGCCTAGCCCCAAAGTAAGCACAGTAAGGCTTGTGTTATTATGGTATACTAGGGTAACGGATAGAATACAAATACTGTACATATATAAGTATATTTATATAGAAATATATATTAAACATCCATGACTGGAGTATAAATGCTCGTATTCATCACACAAACATCTGCCCCCACCGGGATTCGAACCCGGGATCTCTCGAGTCGGCGACACCATGAAATCCGGCGTACAAACCACTCGGCCACGGAGGCCGTCGATTATTATAGCTATTATGTTATATACTACATATGGTGCAAGCGCCTCCGTGATCATGGCGCTTTCAACAGTGCCGAAATATCGGAAACTCATAATATACAAGGTACATGGTAACAATCCCGTTAATAACTATAATGTTAGTGACCATGAATTTCAAAATCATTATCTGTAAGTATCATGTTTTTTGTTGCCACTGTATCTTTATGTAAAAAAGACCTGTTAATATTTTGCACCATAACCTGAAGAGAAAACGGGAAATAAGACAAATAATAAAACAATAAACTTTATTTATAACACATTTGCTCGTAAAGCGTCTCTTATTGCACCAATTTCAATATCATAATCTATCACATTACACACGCGTGCGGTAATGTAAAGTAAAATGCACGGCTTATTATGTTCCGTCTGAAAACGAACGATACTTTTTTAAATCTTAGCAAAGAGTTTTTATGTCAGAAAGGTAGTCAATATTTTCTTAATACAATTCACTTTGGGAGATATAATATATAAACATTTAATTCTTTAATTTGATTCATTTTGACAATAAATTACAACAATGTATCGGTAACAAATTCACAAAAATATTAATTTATTTTATTAGTAAAACTTGCTGGTTTTTATTCCTTTGCCTCAAAAAAGCGTTGATGCGCGCGCATTGCTAATCCATGAAAAAGTTTTTTTTTCTTTTCGCTGTATTGTTTTTATTTGAAAATATTGTCAAGTAGTTACGAATTTATTAATTTGACACCGCCAGTAGTCAAACAAGGCTACGCTACGGCTACTTACAGTCAAGCGTATCAAAATTTCATCTTATGGAAAACAAACAAAGGTGCAAATTCATTTTCAGAAAGTTCGTACGTAGATAGTGTTATTTCCTCGCAAATGTGTTATAAAACGTCGTATGACATACGTGCGGTTTGATAATTACAGCCTCTGGCTTCTTAGCTTGGCATATCGCCTCGGTTGTAATTCTCAACTTACCACACTTGTATCATAATGTATTATTACAGTCTCACTTAATCTATCATTGATTTATTTCTGTCATCTATCATCAATCAATTCTTAAGTCCTCTCGGTTCAAAGAAGTAACATTCGTGGTGTTGACTTCCCAATACGCCCGTAAATTTAGCTTCATAGTTGTATATTGCGTATTTATTTTCTTCAGCCGCATTCGCGAACGTATGGACATTTCTCCTGCATTCATTCACAAAGAAGTCCATAAAGTATCTGTTCGCTTTAATCGCACTATATGAATGAGGATACTTCTTTGACAACTTCCATTCAAAAGAATTCTTCTCCGGATGAAATTGCACTCCATAGAATGGGTATCTGTAATTAAAAATCATGCATTATACTATTTGGCTACGAAGCAGAACTCTTAAACATTTATTGCCGTGAAGGCATTATAGAAAACATTGAAAATAAATTGAATTTTTATCGGTTTTATTATACAAAAATAAGTACTCAGTAAAATTTACTACGGTTCAGTAATCTAATGATAAGTTTGTGTTTCTATAATTAATAACGTAGTTCATAATAAATCGCTTTAACGCATCTATCGAGTGCCCAAACTAAGCGCGTTTGGAGACCGCGTTTCCATTAGTAGGACCATTATGTAAAATAAATTTAAAGTAAAAAACTTTTTAGAACAAGCTATTATTTAAATGGGCTAAAAAGATTAAAAGAAAATTTTCCTTAAAAGATTTACTATCAACTTATAACGTCATAACACAATTTATATACTATAAAAGCTTGTCTCCATATTTAAGTAGGTATACCGTATTTACTTAATTTGAAAATTTTGGAGATTCAAATAAAATCAAATTTTGTTAATCGAACAGGTAAATCTCGTAACAAGCTTTTTTAATATATTAATTGTCTAATGGTGTTATAAGTTGATAGTAAAAGTTTTTAAGGAAAATTTTATTTTATTCTTTTTAGCTTATTTAAATAAAAGCTTGTTTTTAAAAAGTTTTTACTTTTAATTAATTTTTTACAGAAATCATTTTCAGAAATCGTATAACTCGAAATCTCGTATCAATAATAGCGCGAAAATGGGTGTCACAAACATCGCATTCCAAGAAACGTCAATAAATAAATAAAGTTGCATGCATTAACCCGTAAAAAACTAGTTTTATTTAATGAGTAATGTGCGTGAAAACCTAAGAAACAAAAATCGCATTCCATTTTCAAAATGATAAAAAAGATCAAAATATTTTCGTTCTCTTAATTATTTGTCCAGCCAGTATTCCAGCAACTTTATGATTTAATAAGCAAACAAATTATTTCGACAAAACGAATACATTAATTAATAACTTAATATAATGTAATACAGATCGGTCATAATAATATTCTACAACACTAACAGAGTATGTTTAGAAACGAACCGTGCACTAGAATCATGGTCAAAACATAGTTATTGGTTTTGTATTATTAAGCGTTCTTAATTATATGACCACCACTGTATATAAAATCCGTTTAAGGCTGGACGCATATGTATGGTTTCCTGATCAGGAATTCCGATTCGGAAACCTTAATGCAGGTCCTTACATACAAAATGTTGGCGAACACTCTTTTTATTCAGTATGGAAAAAACCTAATGTTCTATCAAACTCTAACTAATAAAACAACCGAAACATCTGTGCCAGGCACACGAAATTCCGAATCTGAATCTGTATATGTGCGCCCAGTCTAAATGAGATCGTAACGTGATTGTTACTATCTTATAGAATCGATACTTATTCTGAAAATCCTCGCCATTTGTTGCCATATGCGTTTTTTTACTTACAGTGCCTTAATGGATCCTAGATAGCCTTTGCTACGGTCATACATTTTTTGTATTAGCAATATTACCCCGTGGCCTAGGATCGCTGATAATTTGATAAAGGAGGGCAGATGGGTCTAAATGGCAATTTTAATTTTATTCTCCGGGGACGGCGAAATGTCAAAACATGAATGTCAATATGGCATTCTTGTATGGGCTAAATCTAGTTTAAATTAAATTGAGATTAAGCAAAATTGCTGCAAGAGGAACCTGGAGATTCATATCTCTCTAAGTATTTAAGCTTACCTCGTGTGTTCGATAGTAGCTATAAACTGCACATCGAAATCATCATCAGAATACGAAGTCACCTGCCAGTCTTTTGTCAAATTAAATGCATTGAGATTCTGAAAATATCAAAACACTTTATTAGTCAAAACTACTTACCTACTATCCGGGGTGCATTGTTAACCCACCACCCGGAACTAGAAATTATGTCTTAAGGTAAACAATCTCAACATCTTCATATTTCTCCTGTTTGATACCTTTCAGCCCAGTAATAGGTACATGGCGCCGATAGGTACCAATAAGTGAACACTGAACACCCTCCAGTGAATGGGCAAAGGTGAGTTTTTTCATTAAAATAAGAAAAGCCTGCAAAATAGCTTCACTAAAACCTAGATTTCTGAAAAAGATGGGACGACTTTTACTCGATCATATGTACTTGTTGTACCTGCAAAACGCAAGAGCGGTTCTACGTGACTATTCCTCTCGCATCTCTGCGTAGCGTAATCCACAGCAATTGGCAGTTCAGAGGTGACTTACAATCTTGACCCTCGCGGCCTTGACAATTATGCCATGATGATCGATGGTGCGTGTACTGAGGGGATAGTATCACATGGATGTATCCGTTATTAATAAAAGAAGAATGATGGCCGAAACAGACTTTTAAAACGCGACGCCAACAGACGCCCGCGACGCGTGTTGATCAAATCAAATGTAATATGTTCTATGATTAGACTCACATTAAGAACATGGTGAACATCACATGAACCGGTACGACATGATGCACACATACTGGGCATAGAAAATACGAGTCGGGTGACGTCGTATTTTTCTCTCGATCGTCGTCTCGCGCGTCGCCGGCGCCGTAGGCGCCGCGGCGTGCGGGGAGTCCATTCTGGCGTGAGCCACTTTGGAGGTGTCGGGCTCGCGTCTCGTCATCAGGACGAGACGGTCGTGTGGGTCGAGTACCCCCGCCTCCGCTTCTTCACTCATCGCCCTCGGCGCGGTCAAGCCCACCGGGTGAGACCCATGAGGGAGGCCCAGTGAGCGACCAGCGAGCGGGCGACGGACTTCAGCGGGCGGGGGTGATGTCTTCAACGGGGGTAGATGTGAAAAAATTTTTCCCAGGCTGCCCGAACTTTATGACGAAGTCCGTGAGCAGAACTGTGAGCTGTTTTACCAGTTGGGCTGTCGCTTCTTGTTGGTGGTAGTTGCCGTCTATGGGTGGTGGGTTGCCATCTTTGGGTGGTGGGGCTGCGGGGGGCGCTTTCGTCGGCGAGGCAACGCTCGCTCAACGGCGTCTGTGGCGGCGCCGTTTGGGGCTGCTGGAGTTCGAGGGAGGAGCGTTCGCGGGGGCCATCAGTGTGGCCGGCGCGTGCTCGCTCACCTCGACTGGGTGTTGTACTGGTGCGGTGGGCGGGCGGCCTGTGCGGGCCACTGTTGTGGCGCGGCGATTGCGCGCCTCGCGCTGGAGCGCGGGGCACGCGCTGTGGTTGGCCGGGTGCGCGCCCGCGCAGTTCGCGCAAGTGGCGGGCTGCGCTAGCGGGCGGGGGCAGTCGGCGGCGGCGTGCGGGTCACCGCAGCGCACGCAAGCAAGCGCGCGGTGACAGCCGAGGCTGGAGTGGCGGAACCCCTGGCAGCGGTGGCACTGCGCGGGGGCGTTCTTCCTTCCTCTCCAGGCTTCGACAGTGATCCCGGACATACTCAGGAGGTCACTCACTGAGTAGATGGCCGGGATGAGGTCTGGTGTTCTACGAAACGAAGCGAAGTATAATGAGCCGGGGCGGCCTGCTCGCGCCCGGATCTGCTTGCTATATTCTGCGACAAAGCCTTTTTCTTCAAAGGCCTTCGCGATGTCATCATGGCTGGTGTCCATTGGTAGCCCACGGATGGCCACCTTTAGGCTGCGGTCTTCTGGACGAGCGTGGGCGTACCAGCTCAGTCCGGTCTGCTCGGAGAGGTAGGCCCGAACGAGCCGGCCCTCGTCATCGTCCTGCGGGGTGAAGCGTACGCCCGTTCCGAACGGACGCACGCTGGGAGCTCGGCCGAGTTGGTCGTGTATTGCGCGCAGGTGCTTCGGCCAGTCCCGCAGCTGCTCGACCACGATCGGCGGGTGTTTGCGGACCCGTGGGAGCGTGGGAGTGCTGCGGGAGGCCGACTGCGCGGTCGACACGGCGGCGGGTGATGCGGCGGTAGCAGTGATTTTTTTCGCTGCGAGGTGGGTAGGCGCAAAAATTTGCGCGGCCTGTGCATAGCTTACCGACTCGGTGGGTGTCGGTAAAGCAGTGGGTGGCTTGATCTCTGGTTGTTCGTCGGCGGCGGGGGCAGTCTGTTGCTCGGGCTGGTGTTCCTCCTTCATCGGGTTCTTCACCGGTGCAGATGGGGAGGTGCGAAATGTTACCGGGGGATCGCCACAGCTGCGGGAGCGGCTAGGGCGCTCACCGCGCGGGCGTCCGGCGCGGGGTTGCGCCTCCTCCGGTTTCGGCGACCTCCTGGTGCGGATGGGCTTCATCACTAGGGAGTGTGCGTGTGGCGGCGGGAAAATGAGCGGCAGCTTCATGCCCTCATTGTTGTGGTCGATGGTGACTTTCTGTCCGAGGCCATAGTTGGTGGAGGAAAGTTCGTCCCACTCCATGAGGCGGACATAGCACTGTAACCAGCCCGCTAATCCTTCGGATATCAGTCCGGAGTCAATGAGCCGCGCGGCCATCGACGCGTCCAATTCATATTGGACGCGCGGCGATTGCCACGCGTACACCAAAGCACAATAGCGGGCGCAGCTACGCGCCATCTCCTCCTCGGTTTGGATGGGTTGGGGTTGGTCTTCGTCCATAGTGCGGCGTGTGGGGCTTACTTCTGCGCGATCTCCTTGACCGAGCAGCGCCGTGCGGCGCGCTCAGGCCTGCGGCAGGGGGGTGCGGAATCCACGCTGGCGCGGTGGCGCCAGGCAGCGCTCGCGGAGCAGGAAAGCTCAGCTTTCCGACGGAGCGCTTGTTGGTGTAGCGAGATCCGTGCGCAGCGAAGTAAGTACAGTCCACGTCGTATTTCAAGTCTGTTACGGCCTTTTGCTTGGATTACTCTATTGTTCTAGATTGTCTATGTTCGATGAATGACAAATGGCGCCAGGATTGCTTGGTCTCCCGATTTTACAGGAGATACTGTTTTTCTTAGAATACGATTTTCTTTTTAAAATTGCATGATGAATTGCGTTTTCCGCCTTCAAGAATGTAGATAACCTTCATTATAAAAATATTGTCTAAAAAAAGAGCTTTGAGCGGCGGAAGAAGCCACAGAAAGACAGTCGTTACTGGCCTATATCTTGATTTGATTAACCAATGCTAGGGAGAGGGGGGGGGAGAAATCGGATAAAGTAAGCCTCTGCTCTGAACACTGAATGGCGCCTGAGTGATATGAACAGAACACAGCGTAACTAATCTAAGCTCTAGGGCAACGTTTTTGTACTGACCACCCAGGTGGACAGGTCAGGTCGTCGGTCAAGAATGTTAAGCACTTGGCTACTATTTTACTGACTGACAGTGACTTCATGTGGATGTCAGAAGATATTGTATTGTTGTGTTGGGTAGGAGGTAGGCCAGGTATTTAGTTCTGTACATTGACTTTCAGAAATAATGTCTTGTGACGTTAGAGAAAATCACTCATACCAAATTTTCCATACACCATTGTTTGTTTTCAATATAATATATTACATCACTTTTAACTGAAGTCAGTCGCCGCGATGTGTCGCGTGCGCACGTATTTATTCGTGTGACTGTGCATATAGTAAACAATGACTTCGAAAGTAGTTAAGTGTGCTAATTGCAATTTAGTCGTCAATGAAGTGCTGGTATTTATACAAAACAAAATAAATGTCATCGATGAGGAGGGCTTAGTTCGAATTTGTACCTCGGCCTATACATCTGAAGAAATAACTGAAGCCAAATGTTTGTTATTTGACTCCGTGCCTAGGATTAAACGGAGGATTACAAGAAAACGAGATGGAAAAAGCCAACGAAATCTTGAAGATATCATCTATCTTTTTAAAGATACTGAACCTGATGTAACTCCTATTTTTGTAGCACGCGATTTGAACAAACTGCCGCCTGTGACATTTGATCACTTAGATGTGACGAGTTTATTGAAAGACTTAGTTAAAATACAAAGTGACGTGAAATATATAAGAGAAAACTATGCGAGTATCGAGGAATTGAACCAATTAAGATGTATCGTTGATGGCATAACCTCAGACTCACTACATCAACAGTCAGAGTGCAACTATAACATTAACAATAGGCGAGGTGCTTTTTTGTTAAATGATAGTAGCGAAAATATAAGTGAACAGGTCGGATTCTTAACATTACAAACTCCGAGGGTATTGGCAAAACAGTCTGCGAGCGCGGGGTCGATGCAGTCGCAGTCTTTGCAAGCAGAACGCCCCGCGTCAAATTTGAGCGCGAACGGCGGCTCGCCTACCGTTGTCGAGAGAAATCTTGTGTCAGAACGTTGCGATAACTCACCCGCTAACGGAGGGAATAGCTCAGCTGTTATTATATCGAATGCGAGCGTGCAAATGGATAAACATTGTACAATTTGCCCTGCGCAGAACCCGACTGAGCCTGTGAAACGACTAAGTTATGCAACGACAACTTCACAAGGCACTGAGAATATGTCTGAAAAACATCTCCAGGCTGATCAGAAAAGTGCAGGCTGGACTTTAGTTCAGAGTAAACGTAAACAAAAGAACCGCTTTAGTAGCAAAAAGGGGACTGCAAAAGATGACATTAAATTCAAGGCGGCGGAATCCGTTATACCGATATTTATCTCTAATGTGCATAGGGACACAAAAGAAACTGATATTATACAGTACATACAAGCTAAAACACAGGAAAACGTGTCCCTTTTAAAACTTACAATGAAAAGAGATAAAGGACACAGTGCATATAAACTATTTGTGCCCCGAAAAATATTGAACTTATTTTTGGACAGTACAATGTGGCCTAATGGTATACTATTTTGACGATTTGTGCATTTTCGATATAAAATAGACAGACAAAAGTCTGCTCAGGTTCTAAATAATAAAACCAACTAATGGATAGCGAAAGCAACAATAATTTATATAACGCATCATTAGTTACGTTCAACTGTAAGTCGTTTAAGCGATCAATTGATGGAGTAAGACTGCTATGCAAGACGGCGGACATCATTGCTCTGCAGGAGACCTGGCTTTTTCCACATGATCTCCAGTAACTTGGAACCGCTGATAGGGACTTTGGATATACAGGCACTTCGGCAATAGACACTGAAGCCGGTCTGACTGTGGGTCGTCCATATGGAGGAGTGGCGTTACTGTGGAGAAAGAGCATGTTTCCTAATGTGTCCATAATACCGTGCTCAAATCCGCGTATTTGTGCGGTTCAAATTGAGCTCGTGGATAGGCCTCTAATAGTGTGTAGCGTTTACATGCCAACTGATTGTCGCGAAAATGTGAATGACTTTACCGATTGTCTAGGAGTGTTAAGTGCAATAATCGAAGAAAGTGCTTTATAATGAGCTAAGTAACTTTTGTAATGACCAGTCATGGATTTGCGCCGATGTAAGTGTTTTGAATATTACCTCTGAGACATAACACGTATATTTGTGAAGCTCATAGGAGTACGAGATGGTTGGATCAATGTGTGGTCACTGAGTCGGCTTTCCAGTGTGTCACAACTGTCAGTGTAATGTATGACGTCTATTGGTCTGACCATTTTCCATTGCTCATCAGTTGCAAATTATGCTCTTGGCGAGGTAGGGCCCCGTTTGCTTCTCGGAGCACTTGTGTTCCCTGAAGCGGCGGAGAGGAGTCCCCGATAGCTTCGTCCGCAACACTCGGTTGGCGAAGTATGCATAATGCATTTTCTAGACATTAAAAAAAAAGGGGGGAAGAACTTCACCGAAATTATTTAATCTGTACATCAACGCGCTGATTGAGGAGCTTAGCGGTACACGTGTCGGCTGTTACGTAGGGAGTGTTTGCGTAAATAATATCAGTTACGCGGATGATATGGTGTTGCTGGCTCCTTCGATCAGTGCTTTGAGGATGCTTTTAAACATTTGTGAAACCTATTCAACCAATCTTAGTTTATCTTATAATACCAGTAAAAGTGTATATATGACTTTTAAGGCTCACGGAAGGACTCCTGAAACCGTGCCCTCTGTAAAACTATATGGATCTGATCTCCGTAGAGTTACGCAATTTAAGTATCTAGGTCATATTGTTACAGATACTTTAAAAGATGACGCTGACCTTGAATGGGAGCGAAGGGCATTGTCTAAGAGGGCAAATATGTTGGCCCGTAGGTTTGCTCGATGTTCTGACACTGTAAAAATCACTCTTTTTAAGGTTTGTACATCTTTCTACTCGAGCAGCCTATGGGTTCATTTTACCCGAAAATCATATGATGTCCTCTATTGAGGATGATTTAGTGGCTCGTGGAGACTGTCTACTGATAAATATTTTTGTAAATAGGGTTATATCTGTCTTTAATATAATTTACTAACATAGTATTAAGTATTGTATACTAACACATGGATCTATGTTGTCCGAATAATAAATGATTTGAATAAATGATTTGAATATATTCCAAAGATTACGTAGTGAAAGATAGTAAACACCTATACCTGGTTAGTGCTTTAAACACGCGCTAAAATTAGTTTGTTTTTCGTTTTTAAAACACACACAAGCGTTGGTATTCACCATCACTGTATAAACGGTGACTGGCTGCGTCAAGGACTTGCGTCTTTATTTCATTTTGAGCCAGTGATGGCTGGCAAACCTACATAAAAAACTTATAAGAATAAGTTAACCGATTGAGGTCTTTATTTATATATCAAATTAGAGCCCAAGACACATTTGTATACTTTCCGCTATTTGACGTAGATTCGGTTAAAGACATACACACCTACCTCATAAATCGTCCTGTATACTGTACCACTAACACAACAGAAAATTTCACCAAAATATCAAGGTAAAATTTTCGAGTAACATTTATACTTTTAAGAGATTGTTTGTTTTGATGAACTCGCTGAAAATATATTTTTGTGTTGGATATTTATCAGAGAAGGCTAGATAGCATCACGTTACGGCTACGACTTTGATTTCAAATAAGTAATGCAATATTTGCAAAGTTAAGGGATATATTTTATTAGGTTTTCCTCAAATCAACACGTGTAAAACCGTGGTAACACCACGGGGTACAGCCTACAGGTAGTATCTAAAACTTAAAGGCTAAACGACACCACAAAGAACTTTGCTTTTTTAAAAAAAAAATACTTCACAGGTTCATCGCGTTAACTGTCAGATTTTGCTTTTGGTTCTTGTTCTGAGGTTCCTGGTATCGGAATCGTGGTACGATATTACGAAGTGTTATTATCTTTATTTATCGGAAGTAAGTGGCGGAGACGAGACTGCAAGCGCGCGAGCTCTAACGTTGAACGTCTATCGCTGTGGGTAGCTGACAGGATTCACAGGATGATTGGTAGAGCGCATCCTCCTCGGGTCGGCTTACTTTCAATATTTATCATATTAAGTTTCCATAACTGGACTAATATTTGTAACATAATATTTAATTTTTCATTTATTAAATTTACTTTAAGTTGAATTGTTTATTTCTTTAAACCTTAACCTCACGATAGGTGTATAAAGTATCGTATGCTCCTCGCAGATAAACGGGTCTTATAGTCTTTGGCAGACTGAAATCCTTCGCTTCATTCAGGATTTTCTTTGAGAATTAACTACAGGACTTCATTTCGCTCAGAAATTTAATATATGCTGCCCGTGACATAATACTCTGCTTTGTCCTTTTGGTGCTTAATCTAGACTCACTACAATTTTATTTTTCTCACCTTGTCTACTATACAAAACTGATGTGCGTTTACTGTTACTTCTTCGTTTGCCAAAATATCCACTAGTTCGTCAGGCGCTTCCGCAAACATTTTGCTGTTTCTGAAATCTGTAAAAACAAAACACTATAAATAACTTCCCTAAATGATGCAAATCAAAAAAGGTGGGTATGCCTCAAGGCTCATTAGTGGAACCCATGATGAATACTATCTACACTGCTGATTGACCCTTATCAGATAACAACACTGCTACTTTTGCTAATTACTTACTCGCTTACGTTATTTTATTTCCAGCTCATTGGGTTGTCTGAAAGAAATCGCTCATTAGTGATAAGACCGCCCTTTGTGCAATGTTGTATTTTTTCTACTTGTTTTGTATCTGCTTGTTTTGTTACTGTGTTGTGCAATAAGGAGTTTGTATCTTATCTTATCTTATCTAATTATAGGTACTACTATTCTTGCCACCAATTAGAGTGATAGCATTGTAACAGAGAAGTTACAGAGTGGAATAGAAGAAAATAAAGGCCAGTACTTAGAAATCAGCGCGAGTTATCTCCCTTCGGCCGTCTACGAAACCGTTGTTTCGTAACTGGTTCCAGTGAAGGAATTATTCGTCCTTATACGTAACTAGTTTTATACTGTGTACAAAAAAACTGAACGATATAACATTACAAAGTAACACAAATTTTCAGTGAGCTACTTAGGTTTTCATCTAGACCGTCATCAATGTTATATAAAAAATACTTTTTAAAACGAAAAAGCAAACACTTAATCTCAAATCGACGGATCCTACGTAAAGTCCAGGATGTGGCACTTAGGTGATTTTCACTTTTTTATTTAATAGTCTTTCGCTAACGCAAGACTATCGACTAATCCTAATTTAGATAGCTGTATAAATTTACATAGAATGCACGTATTTTTTTCAATCGTCTATAAAAAAAAACTTTTTAACTGCATTAAATAGGGAACCCTTCGTTTTTAGTCGTTTTTTAAATAGTTATTATGTTAACATTTTACAAACCTGGTGTGAAGTCGAGCGGCATATTAGAGTATGAGTAACACCGTATTCTATTCTCAGGTTCGCCACGACCGGATGCCAAAATGATGAGCAGTTCAAAGCCGAGGCAAGTTCCGAAAATTGGAAAGTAATCGCCTGCATCATTCATTTTCATTGCAATCTCATAGATGTACTGACCAGCATCAGCGTATCCATTGGACTGGTTGAAGTATGTCGCTCCACCAGGAAGTAGGACCCTAAAATCCATAAGATGTGCAGTTATAAAACCTGATGTTAAATAAGTTAGCACTTTATATGGCTATATTTTTTATTTTTCTATTTGTAAACTTAACGGCAGCGTGGAGGCCGGCGGGATTATTTACATAGGGGTGCATCTGCACTGCATCTACATAAATGCTAAAGAGTTTCTGTCTCTCAGTCTTTCTATGTGACCGATTTAGATGAAATTTTAGAGTACCGATATAGATTTAGTACCGAGAATGGACGTAAGATACCTGGTTTTTATTCTAAATGACATACTTTATGCAAGTTTGTATGGAAAATCACTTTTCACTACTTAGTATAAAATATAGAATTAATGGCTACCTACCTACTTTTTATACCGGAAAATGTTAGGTTCCAGTGGGATTCTCCAAAACTAAAGTTAACTTTATTTATACGAAGTCGCGGGCGGCCCCTAGTTGAATATATTTCGCTCATCGGAAACATTCTTATAGTGCATTCACAACGATCAAAAATCCTATAGAACATGATCTTTCCACCTCCATGGCGTGAGTGGTAATTCGTCGGATTCCAAGGTGTCGCCTACTCAGAAGTCCCGAGTTTGAATCCCGGTGAGGCAAATGTTAGTATGATGAAAACGAGCATTTGTACCTAGTCATGGATGTTTACAAGTATATATTTCTAGATAAAAATGGGAACATATACATCAGCATAAGTACCTATCTTTCTTATGGTAATGTATCAGTATTCTATCCGCTATCATAATATCCCATAACATAATCCTTACAGTGCTTAGTTTGAGGCTAGGCTAATTGGTGTGAGTGTTAGAAATATTTATTTATTTTGATGTGAACGCGTTGGAGGTGTAAAAAAAAGTCTAATAGTCGATGGCCTGCAATGTTGAATGAAAATCCCCGCTGTAGTGCAGGGTAGGGGGATATTAAGATCGCAGACCAGTTATCGGCATGGTTGTCGGTCTTAAATTAATCTGTTTGAACAACAACTTCATTTATTGATAATTTGTTGCATAGGTTATTAATTTTTGTTCAAATTATGAGTGGCATAAGACGTTTATGGAATAAAATACGTAATAATTATTTTAGTTAAGAGGTTTCACCTCATAATAATTCATCCAGGCCGGATAGAGCAAACCTCACGGCAAATTCGGGCAAAAAATATGTATTTTTTTCTATGAAGGTTCTTCATTTTCTGACGAGGTCTCCAAGGGGTAATGGCTTGGGTTGAGGTCAGCAAGGTCAGGATAGATAGAAGAAGTAAAGGGGCAAACTTTTTTGTCGCTAATTATACTTAAAATCAGGGGGTGAGATTCACCTTATTAAAAAAAACTGTTGTCAAATACTATGCCTTCATTTTGGATTACATACATACAGACACTTCATGAGCATACAGATTGCCATGAGAGAAATGGGTTCAGCTAGACAATATAATAAAGCCGGAGAAAGTTAGCACGGAGAGATACTTGCAGCCCCTGGCAGTTACCAAAATTATATTACTTGTGTTGCGACCCAAAACATCTGTTATTTATTTATTTATTATCATCACTAACGTAATGACCCGCTACCAAATTCAAATTTACCTTAAAGCCCGATAGCTTCTTGGAATCGCATTAAAGGTATTCCTAGCTTTTAGCAATTTGGTTTCCTTCATTTCAAAAGCATATAGTAAAAATGTCGTCCCAGACGAATACTTCGTTACAGGCCCACATTCACTTAATAGGTGTTTTAGTGTTTCACTTGTGAAGTGAATAAAGTTTTAATCTATTGTGTATTAAGATATTGGTTCTATTGTTTTGCAATGTCCAAATAAAGCATACAATATATAAGCGCTAGGGCTACTAAATTCCCTGTCTCTGCAGTCGCTTTCTTAGGAATAACCTTCTATTAATGATTTAGCTTTTATTCTAATGCTGGTTGGTTTATCTAGATTGCCCAAAGATTCGTGCTTAGGGGTTCCTTCAAATTATTCTAGTCCTTTCTGTCCATCTGTTACTCCTGTGCGCCTACTCTTGCTAAAATGAATTAGCAAGAATTCATTTTCAAAACAATACATAAATTATGAAGTCAATACCATGTTGGTAGTAACACATGTTTACATTGACAGCGCACCTTTATTAGCAAATAAATAAAAGCAATATTCGTAGTGCAAGTATACAATACCGTGGCTCGTTAATAATTTGCGATTCATAAATTTTGCGACAAACTACTTACCCATTTAATTTCTTCAGAAGCTCTTCGTAATACGAACGGGGTTTGCCTATCCTGTAACCAAAAGGCCTCAATTTATTTATTTTTATTCTTTTTTATCGTTATAAACTCTTTTTCGGTGTTGTCTTACAAAATAGGCACGACTCGAGCGCCGGATGCTTCGACGTCTTTCACATAGCTGGCAGCTATATAACTAGTGTAATTCTCTTCAGGGTATTTAGAATGAAGATAAAATGATTGTTCTTGTGACAGGATCCCAACTATAGGCCGGTCGTTGGTCGCAGGAGGTAGGATCTCTTCTTTACCAGTCGCGGCACCTTCACAGCCCAACATATGCACTACTGAGAACAACAACGCGGCTCTTGCTTGAGCCATGGTTACGAAACAATGTCAATTTTCAACCTACATCACTTTATACTTGGCAAACACTAAAATTATCAGATAAACAATGAGAGATTTTCTCATTAATACATATCGGCTCTCAGTGATAATGTTAAACTGTTTTCAGTTTATCGATCGATTATTATTTTCTTCAAAATAACAAATAATAATAATTAGTTACCTAGGTATATTTTTATCTTTAGATACAGAGCGTTTCCGTTCGTATTGGAACGCACATTATTTTTATAAGATAAGAATTAAGAAGTAAGCTATCTACCTACACCTGAATTAGGAAGCCTAGTTTCTAAATAAACATTATTCTAAAATCTTACATTCCTGCAGTGAGTAGAACATACCTAGGTCGATGGCTGGACCTGGATAAAAAAATCTGCCGATCAGCTGTCTTTTAAATTTCGCTTAACATCCAGTAATTTTTTGAGTCTTGTGTACATAATAACATAAGACTTTTTAAATTATTTCAGTCGGTCGGTCAATAACCATGGTATGTAACTACCTATTACATTACATGAACCAATAAACTGAATGTGTAAAATGCAAAAAAAATACACAATCTTATAATAAACCTAATAATGTAATACTCAAGATATTACCACAAAGTGAGTGAGTACTTTGGGAAATTACCTACTTGCTTAATTGGGGAACATAAATGGTTTAAAATGATTTTAAAAATATCGTGACGAACTGAGAACCTTCTTAATTTTGAAGTCGATTAAAAATACAGGTGAATAAAGTATTTTAACTCAATTTAACGCGGTTGAGTATCACCTATCACAGGAATTAAGTAGCTTGCTACAGGTGAAATACTTGCAAATTCAAGAAATTACTTTACAAACAAACAAGTTTTACCTTTTCAATCAACAATCATATTTCAGATAAGAAATACTTTATTCTAGATTATAGAAGAAAGTCTTTTTTTATGTAACCCTTATTCAAAACTACACTAATTAAAGTCTAATTTGAAAAAGTTAAAAGTTGGATGGGTTTTATTATTAGGAACTGTTTAGCCGCTCTATGATCAACTCTTATTGATTTAGTTAGATTAGTTTACCTTAAAATACTAAAACACTTACCTCTCCCTCTCTTTCCAGTAAATAAACTGCACAGAAAATTACACATAATTTTACAATGAACAAATAATGTTATTATTAAGTGCAGCATTAGTTTTTCGTTCATGATGAGAATTTAAAGATAGAATGAAAGCTCGCAGCTGTTATCAATCGATGAATCACGCATGCGTGCATGATAAGTACGTAACTTAGATATATTTAATCATTACTATCTATGATTAATCAACAAAATACATGGGATGATTACTTAAAAGGACAATTTAAATACAAAATATAAAAACCAACAAGCTCTAATCTTAAATTAGTATTATTTTATCCATTCTTAGCCATATTCCCTAAGAAAGGCATTCATATGATTACGTTACCATTTTTTTATAAAATTTAAAATTAGAATTGTTACAATAAACATTTGTTTTAATGACATTAAATATAATGTTTTTGACGTGACAACGTCTTAAATTAGGTTGCGGCTGGGAGTCACTTATGAAAAAGTGTAACGCTCGGTAACGTTACGATGAGTCTCTCGTGTTAAGTTTAAGTTTACATGTACAATGTTTTAGTAAACAAAATATATTTCTATAGTTAAAATTTGTGCAATTCTTATTTTCATTCAATTCCTTGTTCCTATTGTGCAATTTAATTATATTCATATCAATAAATATTCTACCGAGAAAAAGACGTTGTCACGTAAAATCTTCGCCCGTAAAACCGACTCTAAAGGCAACGTCAGGCCTTTTTTTTTTTAAGTTACTAAGTGCAAAAATCATATTGTAGAAACGAATCAGGTGCTGAAATCATTATTATAATATGACTTTTTCACTTTAAAAATTGTTACTTAAGTTTGAAAGTTTTCAACATTTATTTTATTAATTTCCCGCTATTTTCCAGTTTATATTTTGTTCTTTTTTTTTTATGGCATGCACAGTTTGTGCGTTCAGCCAATGTCAAGTAAAAATTGAGGAAACGGTGTAGGAAAAAAACGAGTGTTATGACCACACGACTGAAGTGAAAATTCTATAGCTCCAATGATCTGAAAATCATAAAATTAACCTGAAGATTTGTAGATAGAAAAAAAACCACCATTCCGCGCTAGGTCCGTTATCACCCTCCAATCCGCACTGGGTCCATTATCACCCACCAATCCGCGCTGGGTCCGTTATCATCCTCCAATCCGCACTGGGTCCATTGTCACCCACCAATCCGCGCTGGGCTTTTATTACCCACCAATCCGCACTGGGTCCGTTATCACCCTTCCTCCTTCCTTTTAAAACCGCAAAAAAGTCATGAGTATGTATGAGAATTTATCAATTAAGTAAGTTATTTTATTTTTTCATTAAAATCATTGAACCAGATAAGTTTCTCATTTTTTTCTCTATTTCGCTGCGTAGAGAGAAAGAAACGCCAGTCGCCAGACGTTTGAACGTCTGGCGACTGGCGTTTCTTTAGTTAATTAAAATAAGTTTATTTTATTCGATCGTGCTTCATGTATCAAGTGAAGCCTGTCATTGTGAGCGTATTACAGCGTACTTACCTATTAGTGGTCACGTGTAGAATGGGTGATCGTCGTTCACCGGCTAGTATTTATACGATTAACATTGCGTGCTTGAAAAATAGTAATTCGTTATAAACGCTCCAATAAAAAAAAAACACTGCCGTTAGTTTACAATTTCATATTTTAATACGTATTCCCCATAGAGAAATGATTGGTGTCGCTTCAAGCGTAGCGAGACCAATCATTTCTCTATGATATTCCCCTTACACCCTGTATAAGTCTACAGGCAATGTATTGTACCACATAAAAACTCGTTTAGGGAGAATTTGGTCATCAACGGTGACAATAATTGATTGAGCTGGTTTCCAAACTACCGAGCTTTCTTGAAAAACTTTGTAATTAATAATATTAATAACTTTTATACCGCAACCAATAGGAACAGATATAATATGTATTTTCAATAATCTCTTCAGGAGACTACAGGGCTATAGCTAGAGTCGAATTTGAGGTAGGGCAGCATTGGTTACAGGTAGAGCGGAAGTAAAAAAATATCTTAATTGATCTGCCCTCGGAATACGGGCTCCTAAATCAATCACCATGTATATCATAAAGCGCAATAGCATAAAGCGCCTACTAACATGCCTGCCGCAGGGACAATCAAGGGTGCACGGCGCGTCCAATATCGGCTTGTCTCTACACACATGCATAGAATTGGCAACAGAAACAAATGTATTGTAAATCAGTACTGTTTATGATTAGAAAAAAATCCACGCGGACCTGGCAGCAGACGGTACTCGAACCCGCACCCTTCGTTATCCGGGCGAATGCACTGATCAATTATGCTACCGCGGCCCCTAACGGCCGTATCGAATTCTTTCTAGCCTTTCTTAAGCTGCAAGGCAGCGCCATCTCTTCGCATTATATGTATCACCCACAATGTCAAATGAATACCTTTACAAGTATTAAACATTTAAAAGAAGAAATAGCAATTAAAGTCATAATTCTATTTCTTAAGCATGTAAGTGCTCAATGTTTGAATCTAAAGAAAATATTACAAGAAAAAATAAAAAACAACTATTCCTATTTTTCTAGTAATATTTTCTTTAGATTTAAAACATCGAGCAGTCACATATTTAAAAAATTAAAATTTATTAAAAAAATATATAAATAATGTTTGTTTTTTTCATCCCATATGTGGGGCCGGTCTTTATATACTTCGATCACTCGTGTCCTAACTTCGTGCTCATTATGATCTGCCGCCATCTTGATCGAAATACGTGCGCTGCGTGTGACAGCTACTAACCGACTGATTGAGAAATTGGCCCAATCGCGCTACACACGCGGCAACGTGCAGGGCGGTTGGGACAATCCAGTGTGCAAGGGTGGTCGCGCGCTCCTGCCGCCCTAAAAATTGCCCCAACTTGCCTACACACATCACAATTTAGGAGGCAATTAAGGGTCATCCCCACTCTTAAACCCTAGATTGTCCCTGCGGCAGGCATGTTAGTAGCGCATCATAGTCCTAGAGGTCAATTTTTCAGTTTTAAAGCATTTTCCAGTTTCTATATTCTATGAAGTGTACGAAGTCTGTTTTGCTTCCATGAGGTGAAAATTGTTGGCATGGATTGCAAAAAGCAGTATCTTTCTATAAATTTAGATTACTGCAACCATTTATAACGCTTGAACCAATCGGTAACAAAGATCCTGTTATGTTGTTTTGGATATGTGTCTAAAACAACTTGTTTTATTGGTTCTCCGATTTGCGCAATATCAGAAGGAATACCATAGCTAACATTACCAACATGTGTTGACGAACCTGTTGCCATGACACTAGGAGTAGCGAATGTATCTTGTGCTTCCACCTGTTTTGAGCAGTGAGGTTCTTCATGGTCAATTTGCTCTTCAACTTTTCATTTTTTTCCAAAGAAAGCCCGTATATCCGCGAAATCAATTAATCTTCAATTTATAGCAATAAAAATAACAATAAATTGTATTGATTTTTGAGTAAAACACTCTTTACCGTACACTTAACCAAACTACAAACAATCATAATCAATCTTTAGTTAATGTTTATTATGTACGGGATTCCCCGTACGATAGATTGCTATATAGCCCATATTGCAATCTATGGTATGGGGAGTTCCCTCTGCATCACAGATAGACTATAGACCCATCGCTTCATGTGATGGCGCTTCAAATGCCATCTATACACAGAACAAAGAATTATTATAATATGAAATTAATGTCACAAACTGACCTCTGTGAAGTTAGCCCCCCACTTTTTGAATTTTATTATTATCTAGGTTGTTCTGGGTTGTTCTATGTTTGTTCTACATTGTTCCAAAGTATTATTTGAAAAAACTAAAATTTGAAGCTGCCAGACAAGAAAAACCGTTTTTCTATGGTAGCCCCCCATGTTTGGAAATTCAATATTTTTTTAGTTGTTCCAAGTTGTTCTAGTTGTTCCGAACATTGTTCCAAAGTATTATTTGAAAATATTCAAATTTGAAGCTGCCAGACAAAAAAAA